ACATCCTTCTAGTTGCTGTATGTGGGACGCGGCCTAAGCATAGCCGGAGAAGTGGCGTGTCGGTGCGCGCCCGGGATCCGAACCCGGGCCGCCAGCAGCAGAGCGCGAGCACTTAACCGCTAAGCCACGGGGCCCGCCCCTTGATAATCTATTTTTAAGCACTCCAAACTGACTGCCTTGATGTGGCCTCAATTAAATGTGGCAAATGCATTTCATTCTTCTCTCTGTGTCGTTTTCCAAAGGCTGCAGCCAATGCCACCTTACTGATTTCCTAAACAGGAAATTTTTACTTTATACATCAGTCTACTGCCAAATTATGCTGCCTGCCCGCTACTCCTCTACGTTGTATCTTAAATATACCTTATTCTTTTATTCCTAATGATACAGATTTGTATAGCTCTAAAAAATCCATAGGCAGGATTATTTTAATCTTATGATTCACTAAATTTAGGAGCACTTTCCCAAATAATTCTTAATGTTGCTGGTAAAATTATTTTCCCATCATTGTTTTGAACTATTCTTTGGTCTCTGTAAAGGTTTTCAATTCATTCAACTAGCTGAATTGAGAAGTGGTAGTGATTAAGCACGCAGAGCCTGGAACCAAACTGCTTGGGCACAAGTCATATCTTACTGTCGGAGTGACCTTGAATACGTTTCACTCGTGGTTGCTCCATTTCCCCTTATGCCACATGGGGACACTCATAGAGCCTTCCTCATGAAGGTGTTGTGAAGATTCATGTGATAACACAGTGCAGGGTATATGGTAACTACTCGACAAATGGCAGCTCTTGCCATTTTTATTAAGGTCCTGCCTTAATCCAAATCCTCCCCAAGACTAGAGTCATATTCCCAAACCGTAGTACCGTAAGTGTGTCACCACTGCTAGATCTCCCTAATACTCCTTGGATCTACATCGATTGGCCTGACACTGGAGAGGCGCCTTAGACAAAAGGCTGAGGTCTATGCATCCACTGGACACCGCCTGCTGCGGACTGACGTGCTTTCCTGATGCTAGTACCCCACCACCCTGAACCTGCTCCCATTGTTTATTTCCGGGCCACCCTCCACGCCTGCTGTGCCTCAGCCTCATCTCTAGGTCCTGATCATTTTCCACCTGGGGGATTCCACTGTCTAATGAAACCCAAGGAGTGGCAGTTATTCAAATATTCAAATGGTGATCTTTATGCTGAAGATATATTTATCTTTATTTTATTCAATATTAATTAACATACTTAGTCTACTTTATTCATTGTTGCCTTTTATATTACAAATGTGCTTTTGGTTGAACTTCATGCATTCCTAAATTGAAGGAATATGATGCAAGTATTTACTAGGTCTAAGGTCTCATGTTGGGTACTGTAGAGTAATACAACATGTTAAACAGCTATTGTTCCAGGAGGGGCTTACAGACATTTTTACAGTCCTCATATGCTCATAGGTCCCTGTGACAAGGATGACAAACATAACACTTCCTGTGTTTTTATCTCACTGGTATGGACAAATTAAACTGCACATCAAACATCCATATTGTAAACAAATTAACATATGAATCAGGATATGGAAAAAAAATGTATGGCCTGATAAAAATAAAGGCAACATTTTGTTTAAAGTCCGATAATAAGAAATTTCAGCAGTTGAACTTCTTTATTTTAATATGCTATTACAAGTAGTCTATTTATCAGATAGACTACACACAGTGGATATAAAACACGCAAAACAAACCGAGGGATTTAGCACACTCAAGGCATGCATAAAGTCCCTCCAATGCACAAGTTTTAGATTCTCTAAGTATGTGTATGAAATGACCTACTGACACAAGCACTGAGAACTAGACTCAGCTGAAGTCTATTCAAGTCAGCAATTTGACAGAAACTAAGACAAAACTATAGAAATTATAAACAGCTCTATTAAAAGCTCATCTCTGTCCTCTCCTAAAATCAGAACAAGAATGGAAAGCAAAAACACTTTTCCCCCTTGAAAGGAATCTGATGGGTGACAGAGCAGCCTATGTCTTCGGTAGTAAGTCTCCCTAGAAATCACCTGCCTGAGTTTTCAATTAGTGACTTTAGCTCATATGTCAGAAAATATGTTTTACTTCACGGCCCATATTCTAGGCCCACTACCATTTCTGATTAAAGTTCCAGTCTTTGAAGGGCTCAGCTGACTTTGGACACTTATAGAAGTCCAAGATCATGACCCCACAAAATATATTTTAAAAGCCATGGACGAGAATTCACATTTTTTATCCTTGGCTTTTCGAGTATATTTTTAAGTACATAACATGGAATAAAATGTTTCATATGATAAATTTATTAAATAGAATATTTTATAAAATAGCACAAATAATGTCCATGTCCCTATATGTTCACTTAAAAAAGAAAGTAGTACTGTGAGCTCTGGGAATAACCTAAGGGGCTCTGTTTGTGAGGAATTTTTGAGGTGATCACCAAAGATAGGAATTTTCAAACGAACATATTGTTTTTGCTTTATCCTGATGGGTAAATTTGGTTAAGTGTTAACAGATGCACACAGTCTTATCTTGGCTCTCCCAAAGAACATGCCATTAACCACACCTTTGCTTTTGACATTTAAAGCTCTCAGACTCAAACTGAAATCAAAGGAAGATTCCAGAAAATTAAGGCAGTGTTTTGCTTACAAATCACATCTTCATGTAACTCCCTGTGGATCTTTAAAGACAGACTCTTCTAGAACATACTAAAAGAATGGAAATGATAGTTTTACAATTTATTATAACTGGAAAGTCTGCAAGTGAGAAACCAGCCTAGGTCCTCCCCCCAAAAACATACAGTTCAGGACATTCTAACTTACCCTTTGCCAGCTTTATATAGTCAAGCGTCGCATAAAGATGTTCCGGTTAACGACGGACCACACATACGACAGTGGTCCCATAAGACTAGTACCTTGTAGCCTAGGTGTGCAGTCGGCTGCCCATCTAGATTTGTGTAAGTACCCTCTATGATGTTCACACAGTGACAAAATTGCCTAATGACGCATTTCTCAGTAAGTGTCCCCGCTGTTAAGCAACACATAACTGTATTGTCTGGAAAAGACTGAGACTTCAAACAAAGAATCACAACTACACAGCACTCACGTTTGCTATTTTGCCCACCCAGTAGTTTTCTTTCATTTAAATTTCTAAGCCTTCACTATTTCTCTGAAATTCCCTAAGTAAAACTAGAATGCTGAGAGAAGGGGACAGAAAATTAATAAAAGAGTAGTCTCCTTTTGAACTATTTAATTTCTAAATGATCTAAACGTTTCTCATCCTCAATGGTATCAGAAGCTGAGTGAAGCCTTAAAAGCATTAGTATGTCTATATATATATATATATAGCATAAATATTATTTGATAATAAAATTTACTTTACTTCTTTTCCATCTGTTTTAAAAGGCCCTAGTATCTTGGTCCCTAGGAATATAAATAAATAAAGAACCAGGAAGCCTCAATGTCCTCAGAATTCCTGGGACTAATGTTAAGGGAAAGAGATTTCAGAGTCCAAAATGGCGTTCTTTAGCACCAATCATTTGGGCCAAAAATCTTCTTAATAACTTTATCTCTATTCACTTTATAATTTTGATAACCGTTTACATAATATTAGGTATACATGGTATGACTATAAAATAATATGTCCACAGAACAAGTTTAGATTGAAGATGAGATCATCTGTCCTACTCAAAGTCACATTAACTGCTACAGCAGTTCTTAGGAGGAAGGAAATACAGCAACCTATTTATTGTTAACGTTATGAAATTATTTCTCCCTGGACGAAATGGGATTTCTATGTCTCAAGTGTGTATCAGAGAAGACATGAAGTAAGAGAGACTGTGGTGATGGGAATGTGTTTTCGTAATGTGTTGGAATGAGTCCACACAACTGTATTGCTCATATTTTTTGCCTTTACGGGCATAACTGCAGCTGAACAGTCATTAGGAACTGTGCGGTGGTTGATCTTCTCCAAGGGCATTACTCACCTTCAGGTCCCGATGGACTACGCCCATCTGATGGCAGTGTAGCACAGCCTCCAGGATCTGCTGAATGCAATGACTGCATGCAAACACCAGGGGGCGTGTGTTAGTTCCAAGCTTACACTCACTGTCTGTATACCCTCAGAGAGACTGGGTCCAAGTGCACAACCAGCAGACAACTGGGGTCGTACTTTACCACCTTCAGGAACGTGAACATATTGCTCAAGTAGAGTGACTACTACCTCAGAACAATCAGGATCTTGCCAGATGTGAGCCAAATGAGGATCTACTTGTTCTAGAAAAATCCGCCTTAAAAATATTTCTTTTAATTCAGGAGCTCATTTCCTGGTTATAAATTCCTACAGGAAATGAATTGGAACACAGATATAATCTCTATGGCTGTGCTCCACCTCTACCCCACACAAAAACCCTGTTTCCCTCTGCTCTCCCACTTTTCTCGTATCATTCCAAAGCTGCCACCTTAGCAGTCAAGGCACCATTAAGGTTAAATTAGGACACGTAATGAATTTTTGATAAATCATTAACTTCTTGCGCTTTAATTTAGCTGGCAATTATTATCTCTTGCCTGAGGGTTCATCAGACTCAAATGGAGCAATGCGTAGCCAGTCGTTCTGCCGCAGCAACCCATGGTCTCAGAACAGAAGTGGTGTTTAGATCTACAGGCGGACATACATCACAGGCCGACTTCATCGCCAGGCAAATGCTGGACGTTTCAGGAAAGCCTGCCCCCAAACCGCCGCTGGTGGGTTCCTGCTTGGAAACCTAACAGGTTGTGTTCTTAATACTGTCCTTCTCTTTTTGCTATGATGTATATTTAGCCTGTAGATGAGCAAACTGAAAGAGGCATCATGCATTATCATTTCATCATTTAGTCATTTTAGGGAAAAATTTGGAAAGGCAAAGGAACCATTTTAAATACCCACCCTCTGCCCTTTCCCCAGAAAAAAACAAAAAAACTCCTTTGATTCAGATTTATGGACTCCATATACTGACCTTCAGGTCCCTGTGAACTATGCCATTTAGGTGACAATGATTTACACTTTCTAGAATCTGCTGTATACAATGACTGTAAAGATACAAGGGCAGAATGGAAGGGAGAACATTTTAAAGGCACATAGTCACATTGAATACAAAATAAAATGAAAGTTCAAACGAAACAAACAAACAAAAATTATATTTTTTCACAACACTTTTTTAGCTTTACATTGAAATTAAATAACGCTGAATAAAGCTAATTTTGGTTCTAACAAAAAATGACATCCAACATAGAATTTGTGACATGTTCAGACAAAACAATTTGAGTTGTGCTTTTTTTCACTGCAAGTGTACAAATTAAATCACTTTTATACACAAGTCAAAATTTCCATATTCAGGGATAAAAATTTATAAATAATTCCCATAATGTTCTGGGAAAATTTTTCAAAGATATAAAATGCATGGGGTATTTCTCATACACATCTAAACTGTTTAAAATCTGAGGTCACAATTAAACATAAGTGTTGAAACAAGAGGGTAAACACAGATGAAGTGGCAGGTGAAACAGGGGTTAAAAAAAACTGAGGGACACATTTATCATTTTGACTTAGCAATGGTGCTTCTTGTGTAACATATTAAGAGGAAAACTAATGCAGGTCTCCAACAACAGAGGGAGAATTTAAAGTAAACCCATGACATGAAATGAACCCCTCTTCAGTACAGTATATACTCTGGGGCAGACCTAGGAACTTACAAAAAAAATAAAATTTTAAGATCCCCTGGAGCACTGGCAGTTGTTAAATATATTTCCATACACCTCTTGAGGAAAACTTTTGCTTATCACTATGTCAAAATGAACAAATTTATACTATTCTTAGCAAAGGCTTTCTGATGTCATGTAGACAGCTAATTAGATTAGAGGGGAGAAATCATTGTTGGCACCTATAGGTCCCGAGAGCTCTCACCTGACGTACAGTAACGTAGAACACATCACATGGATGAATTCTGTACTAGTTCACTGCACGGTTTGAATGCAGGTATGTACAGAAGTACATTCATCCATTTAAGGATTATGTAAACATTTTTATGAGGACATTCTCAACCATTTAATGTACAAAATAATATTACTCCAAGGTAAATTCTTGAATTAAAAAAGTAATCACCATCTGATTTATCACCATGTAAAGTCAAAAAACCGATCATGACCGTGATTTTCTAGCTCTAACTCGATTAAGAGTGCCACTAAAAGCCTCACATTGGCTGTTTTTGACTATACAGCTTACTTGAGTGTTGGCAATTATTTTTTAAATCATATGACTCTTTTTCCTTCTACAATAATGTTCACTTTGTACTACTTTTTAGGAATATTTCACTGTCTCTTATCAAACTACAGGTATAAGTTATTGGGCTTAGAAAATAAACAAATCATAATTCACATTAAATGAACGTCACCATTTTTGTTTTCTAGTGAGAATGGATTCAATTCTTAGTTTCTTGAGGACTAGTAAGAAAACAGACTTTTATTTGCGGAACATGCTCTTTATTCTTGTACTTAGGAAGAGAATGTTTCTTTCTCCTTGATTTTGTGTGGGACCTATCCTAAAAAATAACCTATAGTGTGGGGCGGGCCCCATGGCATAGCGGTTAAGTGTGCACGCTCCGCTGCTGGTGGCCCGGGTTCAGTTCACGGGCGCGCACCGACGCACCACTTGTCAAGCCATGCTCTGGTGGCGTCCCACATAAAGTGGAGGAAGATATGCACAGATGTTAGCCCAGGGCCAGTCTTCCTCAGCAAAAAGAGGAGGATTGGCATGGATGTTAGCTCAGGGCTGATCTTCCTCACAAAAGAAAAAAAAAAAATAACCTGTAGTGAATTCCAAAACTTAATATAAGCATGCATATGAAATGACCCAACCCATAGGGTCTACTCTATTCTCTGCAGGGCTCTTCAATAGTGAAAACAGTCTCTATTTTAATTTCAATCAATATTTTTCAAACATAATAACAACCCGTTAACTTTAAAAAGCAAAATAAAAGAAATTCCCTAATGTGTTTACTACCTTGATTAAAATTATTCTCTCTCTTGGCAAGTGGGCAAATAGCTAATTCCAAGAAGACTGCTCTGAAGCCCCTTTCCAGGGGCCTAATGTGAGGATTTGGGGTAAACTGAGCAAGTGATGATTTACTAAGTGTAAGTGACACAGAACTTTCTATTCGACTTTGGCAGTAAAAATTCTGTTAAAAAATTAGAGTGCAGTCATGTACAGACAAGATTCACAGAATGTCATAAGCAATGGCATTAAACCAAGAAGATTAATGAGAAATTTGGAAGTGAGCCTGTGGATGCATGTGCTACTTTGGAGGGATGGGGAACCTATGATCAGCTGACTCTGCTGAGGGCCAGGCTACAGTGGGTGAGCAAGCCTTAGGAAGCTCTGAAAGCATGAGAGGGGGAGCAGACAATCAGTAACTGAATTCTCATAACATCTCATTTACATTGCTAATAATGAGCCAATCACTCATGGCCAGATTTTTCAAAATAAGTGCCAACTACAGAATATATATATAGAATGCTGAGGAACATTAACACCACAGTCTAAGTCATATCTTAGTAAATAGATTACTGTTACTTCACTCCAAAAACACTGCCTTTGGGTAGCCTAGGAAGTTGCAAACTAGACAAAATGTTGGCCATTTGTAACTTCTGTAAAGCTTTTGCCAGTTAACAAGATGGGGAAATCCTCTTGAACCCTCCGAAATACCTAAATAAATATTTTTCAAGTGAGAGTTCCAAGGGCTTCAATGAAATTTCCAAAGAGTTAAACAGCTAATGATGCTTTAAGGAGACCACTGGGGCTTTTGTAGTCTATTTCTTTTCACGGTCTCTGATTAGACAGACATGGGCTGTTCAGCGGAGCCTTCTGTGCAGATGGAGATGCTCTATATCTGCTATGTCCAGTCGGTAGCCACAGCCTACTTGTGGCTATTAAGCACTCGAAATGTGGCTAGTGCAACCAAGGAGCTAAACTTTTTATCTTATTTAATTTTAATTAATTGAAACTGAAATTAAAATAGCCATCTGTGACTAGTGGCTACCACACTGGGCAGCCCAGGATCGAGAGCTACAGGTCTCAATCTTTGATCTCTTGGCTAAAAAACACACTTCTTTAGCAGAACTCATTCCAATTAGGCTTTTTTAAAAAAATAACTAAAATATGAACTCTAACTATAGATGCTAGATAAAAATAAAGTTTAGACCAAATTCGTGGATTTTTTTTCCAGAGACCAGATTCATAGGTTTTTTTTTTTTTTCCCCAAAGAATCCTCTTGGAAATCCTCAAGAGAGAGAAACATCAACTAAGAGGAACTCATCATGAAAAGAGGTCCAAGATGGTATTGTGAGATTCTCATAAATACTAAGCATCATGATTCGTTTGTAAAGAGGTATACCGAACAAGTGTCATTTGAATGCTGAGTCTTGTATCTTGCGCAGGGCAAGTCACTTACCTGGCATCCGCTTCACTGTAATATTCTCTCGCCACGATGTCTTCAAACAGCTCACCTCCAGTCACTCTGTGAAGACAAACAAGATATTCACATTAGAAAAGAAGAAAAAATTAGGCTGCAATAGATTTGTACCAGTGTTCACATAGAATTTCTGTTTTTAGATTATTTTAAAAATTATTACCAAAACAAAGTATTTTAAAACATTATGAGACTTACAGTTTTCATAATGGTCAATCTATATCAATCTAAACATGTCCATCTTTTCTATATGTCTTTGTATCACTAGATCCTGAGGACACAATTTTCTGTATATGATAAATATATTCAGTGATATCTCTTACAGAAAATGGTTTCTATGAAACTCATTTCAATTCTACAAATATTAACTGAAGTCTGACAAAGTGCGTGGAACAGTTTAGGGACATTTTCTGAACAAAAAGAGAAGATGATAGGCCAGCCTTGGTGGCCTAGTGGTTAAGTTCAGTGCACTCCGCATTGGCGGCCCGGGTTCAGTTCCTGGCCACAGACCTACACTACTCGTCAGTAGCCATGCTGTGGCAGCGGCTCACATACAAAATAGAGGAAGACTGGAACAGATGTTAGCTCAGGGCGAAGCTTCCTTAGCAAAAAAAAAGAGAGAGAGGACGATGCATATCATGGCTGTAGAGTATGATTTGCAGGCTGTATCTCTCTGGAGGGGCTTGTTTTTTAAACTGCAATGAACATGCCTTTATGGGCTGGAGGTGGCCTTCCAAAATATATACCGTTTCTGGGCTGAGTGCTTGATTTTCTTTGTAAGGTCCCCCAATTTCTTTTATGCTCCATTTATTTGCCAGTGAGCAAAGACTTAGGGCTTCTGGCACCATCCTGGGAGGCAACAGTGATCCTTGCTGATAGGATGGAGCTGAATCTGTCTGCCCTCTGTAAGTGAAGACCTTCCTGCAACTCAGCAACTGAATGTAGCTTCTCCAGGAAGTTCACTCAAACCACGGTTTCAAGGTTCTCGAAATAAGGAGATGTCACTATATTTGGGGTTCATTTTTTCTCCAGGTTCAAAAGATTCCTGCTTTGGGGCTAGAATTCTCTGATCAGTGATTCTCTGGCTTGGGCTTTTTTCCCCGACCTAAAAAAATGTGTTTTTAAATTCAAAGTAATAAGAGTTGAGTAGTAAAATTCAAAAACTATGGAAGTGTACCAAGTGAACACACATACACACACATATATTTGCATATTTGAGAGTATTTATAGAAGATAAATTCTTAGAAGTAAAATTGCTAGGTCAAAGAGTATCCACTTTTAAAATTTTGTTGGGAAGATAAGGCAAATTGTCTTCCAAAATGGTTTGTACCCCAACATTGTGAAGGTGCCCAGAGCCCTCATTACTAATAACGGTTGTTATCAATAAACAAAAACACCTATCTAATTGGAAAAAAGTTATCTCATATTAATATGAATTTCTGGATTATTGGTGAAGTGAACCATTTTCTCATGTATTTATCTGCCATTTCTTTCTCTACTGTGATCTGGCCTGATTTTAAAAGGAAATTTTGGCTTTGGCGTTTAACCCTGTAATAGCAAATATTTGCTGAGTGCTTCCTACGTGCCACAGAGTGAAGTGAGCATGATGTTACCTCAGAAATCCTCACAATTCTCTCTAGATGAGTTTTACCATTAGCCCGATTTATTGATGAGAAAATGGAAGTACAGAGAAGTTAAGTAACTTGCCCAAGATTACACAGCCTTCTGTGGCACGGGTGCGCCATCCACTCCGTAGGCTATGCTCTCAGTCACCACACAGTGCAGCCTTTCCCATAATTACACTGTCAGTCTTTCCAGAAGTTTAGAAGGCATGAGTCATTTGGGAAAGCATCAGGTGAAGGTATAAAGCTTGGTGTATGTACATTATAGAGTGTGGAATAAAATTACTTTGAAGATAGATTTTTTTTTTGATTCTCATTTGCCTTTTTGTTTTAATGAGTTCTGAAATATCATCAAATGAGAACATGTTCCAGAGATCACCAATTATTATTCTTCTTTTCTACAGGAAAAGATGTGATACTAAAAACTGTAAATTTGTCTGAAAGTGTATTAACTTTTGTCCTCTCCATTGCATTCTGGATATTTACAAATCCTTAATGTTGAAGTCATATTTTCACCCCTATTATTTTTACATGTAAAATGTGTATCTAAAATTACCATTTAAAGCTTCATATGGGCTTGTTCTGAAAACCATGGGTACATGCACATGTAATTTCAATTAATAGCACAGCTAGGTTTTTTTCCCATGAGCGTCTACAATAATAATGCAATCACACAGTGTGCCCTAGATAAATTATAATACAAAATAATTAGATATTAGACAGAAAGTACTTTCAACAAACCCATTATTATTTCTATAAAGATAATAACAGTTTTGTGGGATTTTTTCCTTTGAATGTGACTGACATAGATATGATACATATTCATATTTATTATTGTTTTTGACCACAGGTATCTAGAAAATCTGTATTACAAACAATTGTGGATTGTTAAGCTGTTTAATAAATATTGATTAGAAAGTCTATTGTCATTAATGAAATTGCTGCTGCTTATAGCAGCTCCTCAAATACACTGAATACCCAGTGAGAATCGCCAGATCCTAAACTACTGGGATCTTTGTTACGAAAGTGCCTAACCTAGCATCTGACACATAATATTTGCTCAATTAGTGAGTGCTGAAGTAATGATTAATGAATTATCCAAGTCAGAAAATCATGCTATCCATTTACTGTAAGTCTGGACCTTACATTCACTTAAAAAGAAAAAAGAAACACTAAAATTTAGCTATACATGGCAATAGGTTTTATTTCTTAAGGTGTCTGTATTTGAAGAAGAATATTAAAAAGTCAGAGGGCCTAGATTCTGGTAATTTTCAATGAACTACAATAGCTGTTAAACAAAGTGAAGGGTTGTAGAGTTCTATGCTGGCTTTTGGATAATGTAGTTAACTGTCTCTGCCAACACTCTTTCTCATTTTCTAGCATTCATTCTTACCATTATTTAAAAATATCCTTGTGCAAATGAAACCATTTTATCATTTGCTATACATATGATAAATGAATGGGAAGGAAAAAATGGAGCTCTAATAGAACACAGTGCCTTACAGAGAAACTATTGAATTTTCTAACTTGAACACATTTCTATACTCACATTATTGTTTAATGGAGCACAAAATTAAGTAGTAGCTATTACAGATTTTTGAAAATTCTTAGTGGGGCCAGCCCAGTGGCACAAGTGGTTAAGTGCGTGCGCTCCACTGTGGCGGCCCGGGGTTCGCCGGTTCGGATCCTGGGCGTGCACCGACGCACTGCTTGGCAAGCCATGCTGTGGCGGCGTCCCATATAAAGTGGAGGAAGATGGGTACGGATGTTAGCCCAGGGCCAGTCTTCCTCAGCAAAAAAGAGGAGGATTGGCAGATGTTAGCACAGGGCTGATCTCCTCACAAAAAAAAAAAAAAAGAGAAAGAAAATTCTTAGTGTGTTATTTCATACAAAGCCACAAATTAAATCAGTCTCATGAAAAAAACTGTCAGATTAATTAATTAATTAGAGATTTTGTGGATAAATGGATATTAGAGTTCTGCTATGATACGAGGCATCTCAATTATATATTTGAAGCATTAATTACCACTTATGAATCTCTAGAACGTTAGGGCTTACAGAAAAAAAAAGATAATTCTAGGACCATGAAAAGATGCAACTCCACATACCAAAAAGATAAATGTTTTTGCTGTTGTTATTATTTACAGGGATGTTGATTCACTCTGTGTTATCTAGCTGAATGAATTGTCCTTTGTTTCTAGTGTATATATTTGTGACTTAGAAATGGTTGAAAGCAGTTTCATCTTGAATAAAACATTTATAAAGTTTCATGAGGAATACAGCCTTGACTATGAGGCTAAGCAGCTAGCAGAGTCCAGGATTGGGCTTTGGAAGATAAAATGGCGCCACATCAACCCAAGAACTAGCTCTGACTTAGAGATGAGAACCAGTGCTGAAGCAGTGGTGGGAAAACCCGGAACCAACAGAGGGCCTGGCTAACTCACACTGAGGAGGCAACCTCGCCACAGCAGGGCCAGGAATGTCCCCGGGAAAAAGAGTAATTCCCCCGCTCTAAATATAAAGCTGAAGCACAAACCCGGTGAACAGAGGCCACCAGACCCGAAATCCAAGGCTCGGAGCAGAGGCAGCAGGACTCATGTTAGCAGAGAATCACACAGTTAGATTTTTGTTTGTTTATCAAAGGCCACATCATACGGTGCCTTGCACTGGGGAGACTGGGATGTCTTCTAGCGATCTCTTCCATGGCAGAAGCTATGATGGCGAGGCATTTATCATGTCACCTGCATGGTGCTCAGTGTACTGCCTTCCATATTGTTGAACAATAACAATAACAGCAAATATCCATTGAGTGCTTGTCCCATGCCAAGCCCAAGCACTGTTCTGAGTCTCTACAGGTTGTAACACAACAACTTCATGAGGTAAATACTAGTGCTATTTCCATTTTACAGATGAGGAAACTGAATTAGTGGAGATTAAGGACTTTCCCCAAGAACACAGCACAAGAAAGAGAAAGTTTGTTTATTCTCCTCTGTGCTGGCCCAAGAGCCAGTTGGACACAACCTGTAGAGCAGGAGAAGGGCAAGTCAAAGGTCTCTGGAGATCCCAAAGGGTCACGTGGAAAGACTAGGAAGAATACTGACATAACGCATTCCCACTTAGAGCCCCTGTCATCCTCTGACTAAAGTCGGACAGTCAGACTGCTGGGGAGCACTAGAGTAGCCCCTGGTCAGAGAGAAGCTCAGCAGGGCCCATTAAGAGGAGTGTACATGGTAAGACTGTCAGCACCAGGCCCATACCAGGTGCCAGCAGCATCACCTTGTCAGTGTGGCAACCAGAGTGCCAGTCCCAGTCACCCCAAGGGTCCCCTAGGCACCCCTGATGAGAACCACTGAGCTAAGGGAACAAAGTCTATGAAGATACAATTGAAATCTTAGGTCTTCTTAGCACTGTGTTCTAATATAGTCA